TAACTACTTATTATTTAGCTAGTCCCTCTTATAAGATAATAATAGCTAACAATATCTACTAGTAGAGACCTATAGTAACTATACTACTACTAGCGTAGAAGCGCTTAGATAAGCGCTCTAGCGGCCGAGTAATTAAGCTTAAGAAGTAGTCTATTCTATAGCAAGAAGTCTTCTATATAGTGTCTTATTCTATAGCAAGAAGTAGTCTATTCTATAATAAGAAGTAGTCTATATAGTATCTCTAGTCTATAATGCTAGTCGTATATATATAACCTTCTATCTCTAGTTAGCGGCCTTTAGCTCTAGGTTACTATCTGCTTAGTTAACTATATTAACGTTATTAATAGTATTAGCAACGTTGCTAACGTTAGTCGTAATTAACAACCTAGTATCCCTTATAATTGTATCTACTAAGCTAACTCGCGTTCTACCCCGCACTATTACTTATAATAGGGGTTATATTAGCAGGTAGATAGGGTAGTAGTAGGTATAGTAGTATTCGATAAGGATCTAGGAGGAGAGAGAGGAAGGCAGGCAAGTTAGCCTAACGCTAAGCGCTAAGCCCTGCCTAAAGTATCGAGACCCTAGCTTTACCCGGCCTAGTTATATGCTAATTACGTATAGCCTCTTTAGCCCTAACATTACTCCTAGTACGTTTAAAGATTCCCGCTCTTTTACGAGAGCAAGTCTACGTATACTAATTAAGAAGTTAAATTTAAAGTAGCTTTAGCATACCTTAAGGGTTCTATCTACCCCTATAGAGTGCCGTAAAACTACCGAAGTTAGTATATAAACTAGGGTATTAGAAACACCCCTTATATAAACTAATTACCTCGGATTTCTATAATTCTAAATAGCCGTAATTGCTTAAAAACGACTAAGTCTACGCCTATACCTTAGTACTACTACTTCTACCGCTTAGAACTAATAGCCTCTCCTTAGATCCGTCGTTTTAGTAGTCTAACTAGTATAGGAGATAGCTTACGAGAGGATTAATTAATATAGGGCGGTAAATATAGTATACCTATATAGAATCTTCCGTAGGCGCGTTTTAAAGATATTACTAGCTTACTAAGTAAGGGCTTCGTACGGCGACGAGGCCTATAGGAGCTACTTAGTAGCTATAGTAGATTAAGTAAAGTATCTTTACTAGTATATAATAGAATAGATAATAAATATAGAGCTATAGATAGTACTATAGATAGTAGTAGCTCTACTATAGATAGTAGAAATAGACTACTTAGTAAAGGCAAATTGTCTAGTAAGGATAAAAACAACGATTAATGCCCCAATAACTCGTCGTTATCGTATTAATTACTTTTGCTAGCGCCTTTTAATAAAGATAGCGGTAATCGACTAATAAGCGTAGATTATAGAATGTCTATAACCGATAGGTTATCTAAGAGGGCCTTATCGTTAGTCTAGTATAGAGCGTCGTTATTAGTAAGGTCTAATAGGTTTATATTAGTGTTATTATTAACTATAATAGCGACTAGAGTAAAGCTAACGTTATTAATAATATTATCTTTATTAACTAGACTATAATAGGTAGTATACTACTATTAACGACGATAGATAGCTACTATAGAGCCTCGATAGAAGCGAGACTAAATGTATTAAAGGCACTAAAGGTACTAAAGGTGCTAAAGGTGCTAGACTTAGTAGTGCTAGACTTAGTAGTGCTAGTAGTAGTTTAAAGATAGGTTATAATAGCGGCCTATTATCGACTAAGCGCTTATTAGCCTTACGACGAGGTATTAAATAGGCCTACGGAGCGCCTCTATTAGGCTATTATTATATCTAAATATCTATTACTAATTAAGCTATTTCCGAGCAGTATATTACCTACTATAGTAAGGCTTCGAATTACTACTTATCGTTTAGATAAGACTTAGAAGTCTAGCTATTATAGAAGCGGAAGAAGGTCTATATAAGACCTTCTATAGAATAGAAGTATTCCTTTACTATACGGAGCCTATAGATACTAGGGGCTTTATTTAGACCGATAACCTATGTAGTAGATCGATAGTTATTATCTTTAAGAATAAGCTTGCTACTATACTAGTCTAAAGGAACGAGGTTGCTACTATTAGGTCCTTAAACCGCCTACTATAGAGCCTATAGCGCTAAGTAGTAAGAAGGCTCGTATTATCGATATAGAAGCGCTAAGTATACTTTTAAGGAAGGTAGTAGCTATACTAGAAATAGTCGAAGCATCTAGTATAAGTATCGTTATCTATAGTAGGTAGATATATCCGCTAGATAGGCTTGCTATTATTACGGTCCTTATATGCCTATATAAGCTTATCTACTATTCTCTTCTATATAGAAAGCGGTAGACTTTTAAAGGATAAATAGAATTCGTTTTTCTATAGTAGAAGCTAGCCCTAACCGTTAATTTAGCCGTTTTAAAGCGCGTGCTTATAGATATAATTGTTTAGTTATTTAAGATGCATTACTAAGCCTAGAAATGGTTAGCAAATAGTATTGCTATTAGTAGAAAGAGTATAGAAGGAAGATAGTCGATAAATCTCGAAGCTATTCTAAGGAATATAGCTATACCGAGAAATATATTCTTATAGTATAGAATTCCGACTATACTATAAGAATAGAAAGAATACGCACTACTTAAGCTCTATTAGAGTATCTAACGCTTGTCTCGGCGCTTTAAGAGTACGTAATAGCCCTTAAGTAGTAACGTTATTCGAATTGCTATTAAAAGGGGTCCTCCGAGCCGTATCTAAGTCGCCTATTAATCGCTCTACAAAGCTAGCTAGTTATTACGGAGGTATTCTAGCTTCTTCTTTGCCTTCTAAGCCTCTAGTTTTATAGCCGCTCGCTTTATAAAGTAATAATACTCGTCCTAGTCTTTAGCGATAAACGTAGTATTAGATAAAGCCTTAAGCGCTAATAGATGCTTCTTAAACCGCCGTTCGAAGGTCTTTATAACGTACCGCTATTTAATATAGCAATTACTTAGCGCCTACTAGATAGTACGTTATTTACTCGCTAAGTCGTCTTTAATAGACTAAAGCGGTATCTAGTTAGACTATTCCTTATAGCGGTTATTAGAATCCTTACTTACGATTATAGGCCGTCTAAAGTAGTAGTCTAAGCTATTACTATTATAAGAGCTTAATTTAACTTATAAGTTAGTTTTAGCTATAAAACAAAGCATTCTTATCGCCCTCTTAATAAGGTACGCCGACTTATAAGATAGTAGTATATAACTAGCTAGAAGCTACTCGAGATACTAATTGCGGACGTATACCGTAAATAGTAGCTAAAGAGGTTTGTTTATACCAAATATAGAATCTAGTAAGAATAAGCTACTATAGTTACAAAGAAGCTATAGTTGCTAGTTAGAGGCCTAAATAAGGCCTAATAAATACATGCCTTTTCTATCGCCTACTAAATAGATTACCTCTACCTAACTAGTTAGATTATCGCTATATAGGCCTAATTTAGCATTTAAGTAGGCTAGAGCCTATTATAACTGTCGATAAATAGACTCGCTAGCGCTAGACCTACGTTTATTGCTTATTTAAGTAATAGCGGCCTTATTAGTATTATAGACTCGATTACGTATAATTCTAATCACACCTACGTCTCGCTGTGCTATCGCTTACCTAGGCCTTCTTATTTTATTCACTAACCTAGAAACGGTCGAAGAGCCTAGAAATAGCTTAATACTAGCACATAAGCCGCCAAGACCGTACTTACCTACTCGAAATTTAAGTATTTCCTTCTGGATAGTCTTTGTGCCGTTATTAACCTGTGTACTATTAACAAACTCGAGAGTATACGAATAGCTATCCTTTAGCGGTAGTAAGATAATATACGAGAGCCTTAGTATCGTTATATCTATAGGTAAGTGCGCTAGCGCTAGCGCTATATTATTAAGAAATATCCCTAAATTACTATTTTAATCCTTCTCGTAGAATTCGATAATAGTTAATTTCGTAGGGTAATCGTATACCTTCTAAGTAATACGCTTCCGCCGTCGACTACTCGCTATACTACTATTACTATTTCTATTAATTTCCGCTCGCTAATAGTCTATAAACCGCTTATAAAGGCAATACTCGAACTTTAGTCTATAAAATAGCCGCTTTACTAGATCTGTAGATAGCTTTACTAGTTAACTCTTTAGAAGCTAAATACTAGTAGTAAAAGCTTAATATTCGTCGTATTCGAAGCCGCTTATTCGTACGCCTAACTAATTATAAACAATATAGCCGTTTAGAAGGCAGATATATCCACTTCTAAACGGTATTTACAGTTATAAGAATAGAAGAATATTTACCTTTACTAATATATATTTAGTAGAAACGGGCTCTTAAACTACGATAATAATACCTTAGTAGCGATTATCTACTTTATAACGAGACGACGTACTAGCTATTTATACTCTAGCTTACTAAGTAACGCGCTTGCCTCTTCTAGCGATAAATGGTTAGTATATATAGCGACTAAGGTTAAAATAAGCCCGATTTATAACCCCGAGGATAAGGTAAAATAGATAGAATAGGTCGATAAATAAGAGGTAGAAATAGCCGCTAGATAAGGTCTAGTTTAGCTTTATTATAACTCCTTGTTTATATAGGCCTATACTATGCGATTATAAGGCTTTAAATTAGCTCGAAATTAGACCTCTTAGCGGTCTGTATATAGCCTATAAATAACTGTAGAAGTAGATATACCGCCGCTATAAACCTAGCCGCCGTAGCGGATTACCACCCTTGCATTCTTAGTTAGTATATATAGACCTACGAGAGCGTCATCAGCGGAACACCGAATCACAAGCCAGCAATACAGAACATCAGAAGACGGGAACCAATTCGGGCGTTGGCGAGATGAACATATGGGACAACTTGGCTTGCACGGTCATCAGCATCTATCCAGCACTCTCGAGACTTCTCAGTACTTGAAGGAGACCATGATCCTACACCACCGCTATCCTGTCATATCTCGTGAGGTCATCATCCAGGTTCATCTCTTTTCAGAAAGATCTCAACCACATCAATCTTTCTTCTTTCTTGTGCACTTCTCGTCTTCTCGCTACTTACTGGCGGTGTACGTATTAATGGTGCAGCGAATATCCTGGCAAGAGCTTTACTCGCCAGTTCTTTCTGACCATTCTGCGCGCCCTTGCCCTTGGAGGCAGCAATTCTCCTTAAGCTTCCGAAGGCGCGTTTGCCTGGACTCATTGGCAAAGCAGGCGGCTGGTTTTCCGACTTGCCAATGCCGGAGACCTCTTGAATCATTCGTTCAAGCATAGCCGTGATGAGAGTGAAGCTGATGTTGTGGCTGGCAGATTTGGAAAGAGCTTCCTGTATGGCAGTTCTCTGCTCGTCATTTGTCGCCTTGCGCTTCGATTTCTCTGCATCACCGAGGTACGTCTCGACCGTGGCCCACAGCTCACCAGTGATGACTCCATCTGGCACGCACCTTAAAAAAATGAGCAGCAGGTCGCAGAGGACGTACAAGCGCTGTATTCGCGGTAGATCGTCAGGAAGCGCGTTCTCGATCGGTGCGTCTTCGTCAAGGGCATTACAGGCTACGCTCAATGCGTCATCCCAATGACTGGCCTTTCTCTCGCCCCAAGCCTGTTCCTCAAACGGCCATGCGGCGTGTTCTTCCCATGGCGCTTTGGGCACGTCTGCACTAGATCTTACCCCGGACTCTATCGAAGATCTGACTGATGGTGACATAGGCGACGTCGGCGTAGTGGGAGGCGCATCGTGTAGCATCTCCCACTCAGCGATAATTCGAGTGCTCAGCTCTTCTATCGCTTCCGTCAGTCGGAACAGCTCACGAGGAGCAGAGAAACGTACTGGTGGCTTGCTCTCTGACTTCGCAGAGCTTTTGCTGTCGCTCGACGTCATCCTTTCAAGAGCATCCCCGAACACATTTGCCGCCTTGACCGCATTCGCTGCTTGCTTGACCTTATCTTTCGGATGCTTCGGTATCTGTCCTTGCAGTTTGCGAATACCGCCTTCCGGAATGCGGCAGAGCGTGTCAATAGTCCGTGTCAAGCTACTTTCCAGCCAGCGAGCACGAATGGGTATGAAATGGTCTCTCCCGTTCTCGACGCGCAGTACAAGGATATCCTCAATCTCCCTCTTGTAGTTTAGATTGGAGACATCGTCCATGTCTTTGATTTTCAACTCCAATTCGACGTGTGCCGTTTCTCCTGGCTCGAGTGTGACAGCTTCCGATGAACTTTGCTTGCTTGAGACCGGAACGTCGTTTATGCTAATCTCAAGCCATCTCGGCGCAATGCCAGCGATTTGAGTAGAGTCGACCGGTCTTTCGATAAGACTGAATGTTGATGCCACACGACTAGTGTTGGCAACCGTCAGTGATCGGTGCTTGGACTGAGCCCACCTGACGTCCCCAAATGATACCCCTTCGTCCGACTTGCCGCCTGGAAGGCTTGTATCTGAGGCCATAGGTGTTACGCTCTCAACCTTGTCGACGACCACGGTGACGTTCGGCCGACCTTCATTTTCTGCTTTATCGAGCTCCTTCGCAACTTCGGCATGCACCTTTGCCTTCAAGTCAGGCACGACTGCGTCATACTTTAGGATAAAGCCTGCATCGAGGGGCTTGTGATCAGAAGATAGAACCCGCTGATGACCAGTGTAGTATTCCAGTGTGATCTCGTCTTCAAATCCTTCGCGAGTGGTAACAGCTGCGAGCTCACCCTGCTCGGCGAAGTCGTCATATTCATCATAGCCACCGACATCAGCAGCGTCAGTCTCAGGATCATAGTCATACAAGATTTGTTCTTCATTCGCGCCTTGATCAATGCCGTGAGCCTCCATCTCAGCGTCTTTCTTTTTGGCATCTTCCTCTCGCCGGATCTTGGCATCGAAGGCGAGTTTGTCCTTTCTTGTGCGGAACAAAATACGGTCACACCAGCTTGGTGCCCGTTTCTTCTCCGAGCTATCGAAAACGCCAACACTTCCCACATCATACTTGTAGGTCGGCAGAAAAGTTATGGGACCCTCCCGCCAGCCATCGTGAAATGCCTTCCGTGCTTTCATTTGCTGGTGTAGCTCATCGTGAGGAAGGAGCGAGTTGATTGTTGCTTGCAAAGAGCTCGGATCATCAGCAGCAGCCAGGTCATGCACCAAAGTATCGGCACGGCTGTAAGAAGAAGTGCTATCATGCAAAGACAGGCGTTGCTTGACAGACTCCGTAGCTTCGTGTATCTCGTTTTCTACTGTTCTGGCGGCAGGATGGCTCACGTCGTACTCTTTTCGTGTGTGAAGCATCAGCAAGCGGCGGATGTCGTCGCCTGGTACGCCCTCCAGCCTGTAGTTCAGGTCGCCGCACCAGAAGCAGAAGTCCTCATCCCCAATGGTCTCTCCGGTTGTCTGCTGTAAGTCCATCGCATCCTGGATTGGCTCAAAGCGTGTACGACTGATGATTTGCTGTGCGTCCCAGTTACGTCGCTCCAGAGCGGACTTATCGGCACCCGCGGCAAGATGGCTATTGACGAACACCAGTCGCGTCGTTTCTCCCAGGACAAATCTGGCGGTTACAGCGCCTTTGTTTCCCATGTATCCAAGAAGTCCAGTGCCTACACTTGTAGTGCTGACAGATTTGATCTCGGGCGCGACAGCAGGCGAAGCATAGATCAAGAGCAACAGCCCGATCAATTGCTGTTCTGCTACCAACGTGTATCCCTTGGGCAGTGCCGTCTCCATTGCGTCCTTCCATTTGTTCGCCGCCGAGGGATCGTGAGGCATGATGGCAGGCGTTACAGCGGTGATATCGATAATCTCCTGTAGAGCCAAGACGTACAATGCAACATCACGGCCGCCAGGCAGCACACTCGTATCTCCGCTCGGCAAAGTCTCCTGCTCTCTTTCGTACTTAGCCTCCTGTTCCTCGACCGCATCCAAGCTCGGCCTTCTGTCCTCCAGAGGCGCACCCGTGAGCTGGTCTGCAATTCCCTTCCCATCAACGAACCACCCTGAAACATCCTTCTCTGTGCCTTTACAAGCAGCCACATTCCACGAGCCTATCTTGATACGCACTTGCTTGACTCTGACATACTCTGCGCGCCTGGCATAGACAGCTTGCGACAAGCTCTTGAACGTGACTTCCTGATCTTCATACTGGCTGTCGTGCTGGTCGTCGTGATGCGGTTGTGGTTGGGGTTGGGGTTGGGGTTGGGGCGTGGAGGGGAATGCACCAGGCACATCTTGCATCAGGCTGCTCGTCGAAGTGGCGACGCTATTCGGGCGGGAAGATAACTTGTCCGGCATGGTGACGGTGTCGTCTCGTTTCAACGGCGCTTGGATGCAGTCAAGCTCTCTGAATGTCTACCAAGCAGCGTGGATGTGCTTGTGCTACCGCTGATGGTAATATCATGGCTGCGTGTGCGATATATTGCCCAGCATGGCACTGCTTAGCCTATATCATTGTGCCGTGCATGGAGTGGTCGAGGCAGAGGCATAGGCAGAGGCATAGGCATAGTAAATGCAGGTGTTGCTGGAAAGGCGCAGGCGCAGGCGCAGCACTACAACCACTTTCCACTTTCCGTGTCAGGCCTTCCACGCGACTTGTGACATCATCGCCGCCACAAGTTGGTGCCTCAGGCCCACAAGCCACGTCGCGTGCTCCACGTCGCGACGGCTCACGAAACTACGTGACGCCAGCGCCAGCGATCATTGCAGACATCATTTGGAGCATAGCATCTCGCCAAGATGCCTCCGAAGCGGAAAACGCAGCTCGCAAAAGCGCAGCCAACAGCATCAGACTATGATACCGACACAAACTACACCGACACCGGCTTGCCGATGACAGTCATTCCACCGCCGCCGAATAGGACCAGCGAGGAACTCAATATGGCAGTGCTGCGGCGCTGGTACCCCTCAGTGCGCTCGATAATAGCCATCGCGCCTTTTGCCGTAATCTACGACCACGTCCAAGAGACTGGGCAATGGGAGAAGACGGACACACAAGGCACATTATTTATTTGCCACATGCAGGAAGAACCGAACAACTTCCTCACATATCGCGCCATCATTTTGAATCGCAAGAATCCCGAGAACTGGGTCTGGGATATTCAGACTAGCAAGAACATCGACTTCGTCGACGGCTACGTGATTGTGCGACGAGCGGAGGAAGGCACCATCCATGGAATATGGATCTACAATGACGGAGAGTCCCACCCGAACCGGAGGCAGATCGTTTACGATGCCATCAACGAGTGTGCGGCACGCATGGATCAATTGCAAGAATATGTACCACAATTCATGCCCATCTACCAAGAGACTGACGAGCAATACCAAGAGAACGACGCCACCACTTTCGAGCACGTTCTCGCGACTGAGACCGTCACACCAGTAGCAGTATTCCAGAACCAAACTCCCCTAGAGCAAGGGCAGCGGATCGACATCAACGCCCTCTTCGCGAGACCACCCTCAAGCCATCCACAGACCCAGCAGAGTGCACTTCTGAATCTGTTCAAGAGCTAGTTGCTCTTGGTGTGGTGGAACGAGATTGGACGGCACCAGTAGAGTTCTGATGACTGAATAACGCTCTTTCTGAAGAATTGATAGCTAGCTGTCATGACTCATGAGTAGATCTCAGCAGACTTGGCACAATGACAGGACTTGGTGACGAGTCTTTGCATGACTCCTTTCTACACGGGAGCAAGGTCTCTTCACTTATGCCATGAATACCCGTTACTGTCTGCTTCGCCTGTCCATTGAAGCTCTGGACGTGATCTTGGCGCGGCCTCGTGGGAAGTTTAGCGTTATGCTTACCAAGGTACTGCAAACGCACGGCTTTCACCACAGAAGTGATGACAGCCTTTATACTCCCGGAAAGCCAACCATCAAACACAGAGCACAGGTTCAGCTGTTTAAATGTCTTCAGAGATAGTGACGTAAATCCACCGCCTTCAACGAACACACCAGCTGCGCCAGCGATCCACGCAAGAGCCGCCAGCGTGGTATCGAAACAATCTACCGAAACAATGCGTCTGTGTATGTTGTCACACAAGTCGTGATTACTGCAGCTCTTGCCGCGTGTTTGAGGTTGAGAAGACAGTGTGAGAGGAGGATTACTAGGGAATTTGACATTTAGGATAGGATCAGGGTTGAGGCGAGAAAGAGGGAGATGGTATCACGCACAGCGCAGTGGATTACTTACGTAATACTGCCTTGCCAGCGGTTTAATATAGCTTCGTTGATCGCCTCTGTTCTTCTATTCTATAGTCTAAAATACAGTGTAAAAATCCTTCTCCTACTAAGAAGTTACGTGTTGTTATATAACTAAGCTTACGCGTTATATACCTCCTTAGCTTATATAAGAGGGGCTTGCTTTCTATTTTAGGCAAGGTAGTTAATGCTTCTTTATATACAAACAAAAGAAAAATTAATCTTTTTAACTTCTTATATAGTGCTTTATTAATATAATAAAAAATTAGTTTAAATCTATACTATATATAAGAGAGTCTTATTTTATACCCCGATTACCCTAGAAGGATATCGTTATATAATCCGGACTATATATACACCTTTATATATAGTCCCTATTACTAGGAACTATTGTCTTCCTACGTAGTTAAAGTATAGACTAACACTATTAAGCCTTATATAAGAACTCGTATTGTTAGTAAAGTTAGTTCAATTTAAACTAAGCCCTTTATATTATTACTATCGGTTATTATATTAATCGTATAGGTAGCGTCTATTTAATTAGATAAAGGATTAAGTAAGATATATATTAGTTAAATAGGTTTAACGAATTAGAATAGGTAACTTAAACTAAGGACGCTACCTTTAGCTAAGACTACTATACTATTATTACTAGTACTAATACAATCGCCGCAGACTTGTTATTAGTTAGTAGAAGTAACGTTCGAAGTAATAATATAGGCGATAGTAACGTACCCTATAAGGTAAGGTTTCCTATATAGTTGCCTATTATAAGAAGGGTTATATTAGTAGGTAGATAGGGTAGTAGTAGGTTAGTATAGTATTCGATAGAGATCTAGGAGGAGAAGGGGGAAGGCAGGCTAGTATTAGCTAGTAACCGGCCCTATATACCTAGGCTAAGTTTTAAGCCTATATAAGAGGCCTCCTTCTATATAGTAGATAGAGCACTAACCTCGTATAGCACATTGTTTATATTACACTTCTACAATGCCTATATTGTAGGGCTCTAGTTATTAGCCTAAGCAACCGTCTTGTTATCCTATTATACTAAATATAGCTGCCTATATTGTTATAGGTTATATTACCCTCGGTTGCCTATACTATTACTACTAGTAGTAGTAGTAGTATTAGTTTCCGTCCTTTACTAGTTAGCCTAACGCTAGGCGCTAAGCCCTGCCTAAGGCACTAAGACCCTAGCTTTACTTAGCCTAGTTACATGCTAATTACGTATAGCCGCTTTAGCCCTAATACCTATACTATTTGTTTAGTCTATATTAGAAGGTAAGGTTAAATCCTTTACTCTAATTAGTCGTTGTTATCGTATTAGACACTTTTGTTAGCGCTAATCGATAGAGGTATATTTAATCGACTTAGTTATAGTTAGTAGAAGGGCGCCCTATTAGTAGAGAGGCGCCTACTAGGTATTATATAGAGTTGTCTTTATATTACTAAAGAGGAAGAGGTTGTCGGAGGAAGAGTTACTTCCTTATATATCCCTTAGTACTAGCTTAGTTAGTCTTAGCTAAGACTAAGGCAAACCCTTCTAGAGAGTTTAAATAGACTAACAAAACACAAGCCGCTTTTAACGGTCTAAAGCAACGCTTTACTAAAGTCCCCCTATTATACTATTTTATACTAAGCAAGCAGATCCGTATTAAGACTAACGCTTTACAGTTCGCTATATTAGCTATTATATTACAATAGGCTAATAACACCTATTAGCACCCGATTGCCTTCTTTTTACGAAAGATAATCGATATAGAGCGTTATTACGAGACCTATAAGTAAGAGCTCTTAGTAATCGTAGAAGCCTTTAAGCATTAGCACTACTATCTCGATAGTGCTTAGTATACAATTTAGGTCTATACGGACTATAACAACCTACGTAGTATTACTAAGGTTATAAGGGTTATAGGTCGATAGGCTAGATAGGCCGTTTACCTCGCTAGGTTCGATTTTAATATATTATACTAGCTAGGCGTAAGTAACCCTACCGATAGCCTATCGAGGCGACCTAATTACGATAGCGAGACTTAGTATATTAATTTATTGTTTCTAACCCTATAGTATAAGATTACTATAGCCTGTATTGTTAATAAGCAAGCGTAGGATAAGCGGACTTCCGGACCCCGCGGCGGTAATAAATACTATAGCGGAGTTGTCGTTCTTCTAGTACGCGTTAGAAAGGACGTAGATCGCTCGAGCTATAATAACTCGATTAAAGACATTGCTATCTATAGCGATAGTACTATAGAAGAGGTTGCGGTAGTTCCGGCTACTAGTACTATTAGATATATATAATACGTACCTCGTTCGATAGTAAGGGTACTATTAAATAACCTTATAAATAGGGATAGTTAATCGTTTATAGATAAGCTATTACGGGCTTAGTAGAGGGACGCCTTTGCTATTAAACGCATTAATAAGCTTGTAAGTAGGCGAACGACTCGATCTAGTAAGAGTAACTAGTCGATCGACGATAAGGGTTACTTAAAGTTTAAGGGTAGATACTATATCCCCGCTAAACAATCGATTAGACAAGAGCTTTTAAAGCGATACTATAATAGTAAGCTTGCTAGTTACTATAGTATAGAGAGGTCGCACGAGCTACTATCGTATATATACTACTAGCCGAATAGTAAACGGTATATAAAAGAATACGTATAGACCTATATAGTATACTAGCGTATTAAAGCACTAAAGCACTTGCTATTTAGCGAGTTGTCTTTACTTTATGTCCCTAGAAAGCTATTCGTAGAGCTTATAATAGACTTTATTATAGGCCTTCCTCCTACTAAGCGTAGGGGTAGTAAGGATATATATAATACTATCCTTATTATAGTAGATCGATTTACTAAAGGCGCTCGATATATCCTAGCGCGGAAGGAGTAGACTACTATAAATATAGCAGAAGCGCTATAGAACAATATCTTCTATACCTATTAGGGAACTCCTAAGGGGATAGTATCTAATCGTAGATCGATACTAATATCGTACTATTAGAGCGAAATATTCCTATAGCTAAGACTAAAGTATCGGCTATTAACAGCCTTCTATCTATAGACTAACGGTTAAATAGAGAGGTAGAATACTACCCTATAGTAGTACCTATATAGCTATATTAATAAGAACCCCGAGGATTGGGTTAACCTCCTATAACCTACGGAATTCGTATACAATAACAGTATATACTTATTAACTAAGGTTTTACTATACATAGCTATAATAGGCTAGAACGCTACCTTACTACAAGGCCTATTTACCTCGCTCGAGGCCGAGCGTAAGGAAAGGGAAGCGCGTTAAGTACTAGAGACACTAGCGGTAATAGAACGTATCTAGAAGATACGAGAAATCTATACTAAGATAGCTAAGAAGCTAATAAAGGCTTAAGAGTACTAAAAGACCTACTACGATAAGCGCTATATACTAATAGCCTTTAAGTAAGGCGATATAGTTATACTTAGTACGAAGAACCTCCGTATCCGCAAACACCTATTACCTAATAGCAAAACAAGGCCTAAGCTCGTACTAAGATATATTAGCCTATTCTATATCCGAGAGGCAGCAAGGCTAAGGGTATATAGACTTACTAGTTGTAGCTCTATTCTTATTATACTATCTATAACACCTTCTACGTATCCCTCCTTAAGCTATATTACTAGCGCGAAGGCGATAAAGCGCCTACTAAGTTAGAAGAAGTCTTAGCTAATAGTAAAGAACTATAGTCGGTCGAACGAATACTAAAGTATCGGACTAGATAAGGCAAGAAGGAGTACCTATTAAGATAGTAAGGCTATTTACCTAAATAGGACTCGTACGAAGCTAAAGGCTCCTTTAAGGATATAGCTAAGTTGTTAGACGAGTATTAGACTAGTATAAAGAACAAGAAGAAGGCTAAGGGCCTATAATATTACTAGAAAGGCCTAGAATTAATACTTCCCTAGGGGTGCTATTAGCTAACTAATTAGAGGCGAGCAGTTGTTAGCAAAGATAAGACTATACTACTATAGTAAACGCGCACCGAGTATTAATAAGCGCGCTATAATGCGTTAACTATTCGCCTACTCTTTTAAAGAATCCGCCTCTTTACTAGCGCACTCTATAAGCCCTTCTCTTAATGCCTAAACCTCCTCTTATTTCTATATACTATCGAGGCCTTAGGGCCTATACGGTCGGCGAAGCGCGCGCGTAGCGAATAGTGCTAGCAATAATAATAGTAGCGTAGGACGCGAGCTAGCGATATATTAGAAGACGGCGCGCGGCTATATTAGTAATAGTATTGCTAAGTGTGTTACTAGCTAAAGAAGGAAAGGAAGAATAAAGTAAAGTTAGAGCTAAGGCGGCTACCGCCGCTATTGTTAACGTTACCTGCTCGCTGCTATTATTAACCTTACTTATTATCGTTACTATACCTCTAAGAATAACCTTACCTATACTATAGCCTAAGGCTAAAACGCACTGT